TTAGATTTGATTCAACAGTAGGTTCTTAGGTACTACTAATGTAAAAGTGCAATAGTTAAGACCAGGGGTCCTCAAACTACTGCCTGTGGGCCACATGCAGCCCGCCGAGGACATTTATCTGGGCTGCCAGGTCTTTTTGCCCCGTTTTGTTTTTCACTTCAAAATACAATGTGTGCAGTGTGCATAAGAATTTGTTCATAGTTTTTTTTAAACTATAGTCCAGCTCTCCAATGGGTCTGAGGGACAGGGAACTGGCCCCCTGTTTAAAAAGTTTGAGGACCCTTGGTTAAGACTAACATCTTTTATGGAGCCAGTTTTTTGTGGCTGAAATAGCGCTTAACCAGGGAACAGAAAATCTTGCCCCAACATGTATTTGTGAATGGAAAACAAAACAATAACTACCTCATGAAGTGATTGAAAGAAAGAAAAACTAAAACACAGTGTAAATCTAAGTGTATTTCTATTGAGTTAAAATGACTGAAATTTGTAAGAGGATATTAAATTTGAAATCATAGCTTTGATACAAAGGAGGATCTCTTTCTAGAGCTTAGGTTTATAGAACTTTGGATTTGACTATTTAGAGAACTTTAATCAAGGTGAGTCCTATTTTTAAAAATCTAGATTATAATTTCCTCACACCGAAAAGAGTGAAAAATCCTTCATCAATTTATTAATTGTAATTCAAATAAGAATTTTACATTTAAAATAATTTTTAGCATTTATGTAATACTTAGGGTTATATGCATTTTAAAATTTATTCCATTCTAGGCCTCATCTGAATTATATCCATATAATCCTGTGATGGAAAACATTTCCTGTATTATGCCTAGTAATGAGATGGAACTACAATTGGATTTTATATTTACCTCTATTTATATTGGTAAAATAAAAGGAGCATCTAAAGGTTGCGTTACAGTAAGTACATTTTCTTTGAGATTTTTTTCTCTTTAAGTCTTATATTTTCAGAGCAGGCTTTTTCAGTTTTTTAAATTTTAAGTAAAATAACTAATAGAATTGAGATTAACTATACATGGGACATTTTGAATGTGTTGAAATTCGTTTATGTGTTTTGAAATGTAACATTTTCTCATCTCACTAAAATCACACCTAATTTCTAACTAATGGAGATAATCTTTTTTTTTTCTTTGCAATT